AGACTGAACTGTGTAGAAAATTTCATCGTGATCGGACTCTCCTTTCGAAAGTTATCGTGTAAACGGCCGGCCGGACGGACGGCCGGACATACTGACCGATTCTAGAGTGTACTCACTTTTTGAGTACACAAAAAGTAGAAGATACTCATAAACTGTCTACGTTTTATGTGAATATTATTTAAGCATCCGTAGTTGCCTTTCATTTACCAGACATTAACAGATATCAACTGCCAGAAAGAAAGTTTTCACAAAATAAAAAACAAAATTGGGTCTTTGTTACGCGTGACAGTCCAATAAATTTTTACTATCAAAATCCATCATTTTTGCCATATATTTTAAATGAATATTTCGATCGTTCAATTTCATATAGGTATGATTCACCATTTTCAATATTTTTACCAACAATAAAGTCCCGTCTATTACTCAAAAAAGTGCAGAACTTATCTGGATCAAGTATAACTGAAATTGAACCTGAACTTGAACGAAATTTAATAATGAAAAGTCTACAACTCAAGATAAAACCTATTGTATGGATTGCATCGCATTGTATAACATTTTCTCAACGAGAAAAATATGTTGAAAAATTAAAAGAATACATTCATATTGATGTTTACGGTGAGTGTGGTGTACCTTGTTCAAGAACAACTACTCATCAATGTAATAATATAAATCTTCATGAATATTACTTCCACTTAGCATTCGAAAATAGTCGTTGTGATTTATACATAACTGAAAACTTTTGGAATATTATGTCTGATAATACACATCGTCTTGTACCTATTGTTATGGGTGCTAATGAATATGACTATGCACGTATTGCACCAAAAAAATCTTATATTCATATCGATCATTATAAAACACCGGAGGATCTTGCTAAATATCTCATTTTTCTTATGAAAAATCCAGAAAAGTATCTTGAATATCTTAAATGGCGAGAGTATGCAACGATTAAATTTCAATTTCCTGGAACATGGATGAATCTTTTATGTCCACTGTGCGAAATGGCATATGAAAATCATCCATCTTCTTATGATCGATATAACTTTTCATCAATTTATCATCCAAAAATTCAATGTAATCAAGATGATGTTAAGCTGTTTAAAAAGTGTAAACAAAACAATTTAGGAGTTTTGATGAGTTGGATGCATAACGTCAAATGTCCATAGAAATGAAATATAATTTATGTATTGAAAATAGTTGTTTTCCTAATGCTACACATCTTTTCTAAAAAAGAAATTCAGTATTTGAAAATGAGTCAATTTGGATGCGTGCATGGCTCTGAATAGGATTTTAAACATAGGTGTGATCTGAGTGAGAGACAAAATAGAGAATACTGATTGAAAGACGTCCGATTTTCAATGATGGCAAGGCCATATTAGATAAGAACTATCAAAACCGAGAAAATAGTGCTAGAATCCAGTAAAATGCAGCAATGGATACCAGACTAATGGATGATATAAGTACCCTTTTCAAGTGAGAAAATGTCGCTCGAGTCAAAAATAACTGTTCTTTCCGTTCTCCATATACAAGACTAATGATTACATATCCCCCTAGAAAAAAATAGTGTCACTCGATATTTTCTACATCTGATTACTATAAATCAACATTTTGAGAAAAGTAAATATATATTTGGATAGCCCGTGGAATTCTCTACAACTCTATATATGTGGGTTTTGAATTATATTCGTTCGCTAAAAATAAATTCAAAAACAGTAACGGCACTCTCGTCGGCAGATTCCCCAGAAATGAATTTTTTTTCTTTTTTTCTTTTTTTCTTTCGTTTTTTCAAACTTATCTTCTCGGTTTTCTTTCTATTTTCTCGAAAATATCATTTAGTCACATACATAAATCTAGGTCAGCTAGTCTCATTCGCACGTGCACAAATTAGTGATTTATTTTCTCTTGTGTCGTTCGTTTTATATTTTGTCGTTCATGTTTTGTTTTATTCTGAACGTATACTCGAATTATTTCAAGAAACCAATAATGTTATTCAACGAAACGGACGATGTCGTCAACTGATGTTGAATGATGGACGACTACCCACCTGTTAGTCTGGACCTCAACGCTGTTGAGAGTGTATGGTCTTGGATGAATCGATATGTACAAAGAAATCATCCACACTCTCAACGGCATTTAGAAAGATTAGTTGAACAAGCATGGAATGCAATTCCACAAAACGTTATTCGTGGGTAAATAAATACTATATCAAATATTTGTAGTCAAATAATAGTTAATAATGGATGGAAAAGCACAGGATAATAAAGACCTCTATGTACTTTCATATTGTATACTAAGCTTTGTAATAACTTATTTGTGTATGAAAAATAAATTTGAAAAAACGAAAGAAAAAAAGAAACAAAATTCATTTCTGGGGAATCTGCCGATGATGGTGCCTTTACTGTGTTTGAATTTATTTTTAGCGAACGAATACAATTCAAAACCCACATATATAGAGTTGTAGAGAATTCCACGGGCTATCCGAAAATATATTTACTTTTCTCAAACTGCTGATTTATAGTGATCATATGTAGAAAATATCGAGTGACACTATTTTTTTCCAGGGGGATATATTTATATCCAAGAGCGTACATAAGAAGGGTGTGGGTGTGGGTGTGGGTGTGGGTGTGGGTGTGGGCGTGGGTGTGGGTGTGGGTGTGGGTGTGGGTGTAGGTATTAGTAGAAGTGTTTCATCAACACCCACACCCACACCCACACCCCACACCCACA